ATGCTGTTCAAAAGATTGGGTCAGAGTAAATTTTTTTTACTTTTTTTCAGGATGCATTACATTGACTAAAATGATAGTAAGATGTTTACTATGTCACAAAAGATTTCTATTTTGAATTAATGCTGTTCTTTTGAGCTTTCTATTCATCTATAGGAAGCGTGGGGAAAAAATGCATCATGGTTTCCACAAAATATTAAGCAGTACACCTGTTTTCAACTGTTTTTGTGCACAAAATTTAAAACAAGTATATTAGAATGAGTATGTGAAGTCCAGATTAATGGCTGCTGAAAATTCTACTTTGCCATCACAGAATAAATTACATTTTAAAATCATTTAAAATAGAAAACAGCTACTTTAAACTGTAATAATATTCCAGAATATTACTGTTTTACTGTATTTCTTATCTGACAAATGCAGCCTTGGTGTACAAAAGAGTCTTCTTTCAAAATGCGACCATGATTACTTTCAAAATGCGACTTTGAACCTCCACTTTAATATGCAAGTTGCAACAGATCATTAGGCAATCCTAATCATATAAAGCTAGTTTTGTGAATTCTGTGGCTTGGAGAGCATTTTCATCTTGAGTGTGTCATCACAATTGTGTACTGTTCAGCACCTAAATGATGGATTACTCACAGTTTTCATTCTGGCCAAACCAAGACCAGTGTTTCTGAACAAACATTCCCCCAAAGAATTTGATGTCTTATTTTCTACAAAGTGTAAACTATGAATATATGTATGATGCTACTGCATGTGAGAAGAAAAAGTGACCTGTTCTGCTTGACTTTTTCTGGTGGGGTACTGGTGGAGTTCTCAGATGGTGCTTCAAAAGCTGGGGTAAAATGAAACTGATCTGTCCCCTGAAATCCTGTCTTCAATGGTTTTATTGTTTGGATAAAGAGGCTTTATTCTGGACCACTCATCCACAGTTCCCCTAATGGTGCTGTCCATTTCTGCAGGACTATTAAGATAATTAAAAAAGATCTCACCGATTCGGTCTTTCCCTCTGTTTGCTAGTTCTTTCTTTCTTTCTTTCTTTCTTTCTTTTTGAAAGACTAAATTAGCACAGATTTACAATTGGTCATTTTTCCAGATTTTTTTTTCTTTCAGAATGTTTTTAAATATAATTTTTTTGTATTTTATTTAATTTTATTTAATTTTAATGCTTTGGGATATCCATTTGTGTAATGGAAAAGGTAACACAACAGCAGGTCTTCTTAAGGGACTACCATGTGCTGTACCACTGTGGCACAGACATTATTTGTGGAGTGATGCAGAAATAACTGCAATAATTGTAAACACATTGCTGTTATATGTGCAACAACCCTGTATTGATCAAGCATTTCACATTTTGGTTTGCTATTTGTCTAAAGATGTGCTAGAAGCTAGATACTAATAGTATGCAGTTGTGTATGGATTCATGTCCTCTTGTGGAGAGTGTTGTACTCAGTTTGTGATGCAGTCATTCATCTGTCACCAGTTAAATTTACATGGCATAAAGCAACGTTGTTGCACATATCTTAACTGTTTGCTTTTTATTTCAGTACCTTTCTGCTTTTGCCATCCTCCTTGCCATTTAATCTGCTGCTTTTCTGACTCCTCCTCCCTTCCTCTATTTGCTCTCTGTATGCTTTAATCTCAAACCTGTACTTCACCTCCTCTGTCTTTATCTCAGTGATTTTGTTGATTATTTTGTTGTGCTCTCGTCTCCAACTCATGCTTAATCTATTCATCTACTTTCCTTCTCCATTTTGTCACTGCACTCCTCCTATGTTTTATTTTTTTCCAGTAAGGCCAGTTTCAGTGAGAACAGCCATTAGACTAATTGTACAAAGCTGTAGATGGGAAGTAATTATTAATAATAGTAAGTAATTTGGCACTCAAGCTTACAAGAAGCTCTTATGTCGAGGGGTTTTCTACAAGGCAGCAGCAGTGGATTGTACAGCCAAATGTCTGCTTTGTACCACCACAGATAATGCCAACCCAGATTCAAGACAGCCATAAAAATGTGTCCTCAGCAAAGCATGGGTTGCATAAGTAAGGCTGGACACTCACAAAGAGCATTAGCCATGTGTTAATGAGACGCTGACCGGCATCCAAAACTGCGCTCATCTGTGGTGATGTGCCAGCTTCCAAGATAAAGGCCTCTCTCAGCCTGTATGACAGGATCTCTGGGTAATGATCTCATTATTTCTCCATGATAACAGAGCACAGAGTTGACATGGACTGGAGAGTGTTTGACAGATATTGATCTTGAATGGTCTCGAATTACAAATTTCCTCTTTTACGGCTGAAATTTCACAACAGAACTTGGGTAATTAAAACATTTTGAAATATGACATCAGAAAATGGTTGAAATGGTTCTTGTAAAATGCTTCAAATTTCAGTTAGCAGAAACTAGCATGAGGAAGAGGTTCATTCTGTATCTGCGTTTTTGTTAAACGACCATGTGAAAAGCAGAACAGGTTTTATTTGTGGTAAAACTCAAATATTTGGTAGTCTACACTGCAGAATGGCTTCTATTTTTTAGCTTCCTGCGCAGGACAAAGTGCTTGAAACTGATCTTGAATGTTATCGAATTACAGTGACTAGACAAGTAAAATTGCCAAAATGTTAATTTAGGGAAAGAACTAATATTGAGCTTTTCCATTTTGGTCAAGAACACAGAAGCGTGAAATGTCTTGAATGTAACATTAAAGTTCTATACGTTAACATTTAGCTAACGATAAATAATGAACAATACTTGTACAGTATTTACTAATGTAATGTTAATTTATAAGTACACTATTGTTTATTGTTAGTTTATGTTTGTTCATACATTAATGTTGATTTATACAATGTGAAATGTTAATATGTTATACAGTACCATTGAAAAGTTTGGGGTCAATACAGTAAAACAGTAATATTGTGAAATATTATTACAATGTAATACATGTAAAAAAGTCCTAGAGAACAGCATAATAAAAATCTTTTTTTATATATTATTCTTTCTACTGTCACTTTTGATCAATTTAAAGGCACAATATGTAAGATTTTTTAATTAAAATATCCAAAAACTACTAGAACAGTTATATATTTTGCTGACTTGTGTGCTTACATTATCCCAAATGTTTCGAAGAATGTTTAAATCCAGAGAAATAAGCAATTTTAACTAGTGACATGGACCGTTTCCATAGTGTTATTGTGTCGCCTACCAAAGACGCTTTAATATGTTATGCGTTTTATTAGACAGGTGACGACCGCACAGAGTAGCATTATAACAGAACTTTAAAATGTATCTAGTATGATAAAACAGCGCTGCTTTACATACTCACGACCAGAAGGAGTGGAAGCGTTAGACTGTGGCATAATAAAAGCTCCGCTGCTTTCGAGCCGTGTGTCGCGCTTGTTCAGCGGCCTCGTTTCGCTTCGACGGCTTTCAGCCTCACCCTGCTTCATTCTACTACGTTAATAAATCATTAGCTCATCCATGAACATGATTTCTGCCCGAGTCCCGTCGGATTGCATCGGCTGTGGGGATGAAGACGACAACTCCCATGATTCCACACTCAGTCACGGCGTCATTAAACTACGCCTTTGTTTCTTTGTTTGTTTTGAATATGCGCCCTCTAGCGGCGAAAACTTACATATTGTGCCTTTAATGCATCTTATTAGAATAGCAGTATTTATTTCTTTAAAAAATTCTTATTAACCCTAACATTTTGAATGGTATAGTGCACATATTTAATGTTAAGTTAAACTAATACATTTGCATAATTTACATATAAATGAACAATAACATATTATATGATCAAATAAAACTATAGTATATTTATAAAGTAGCATTAAATTACGTAAATGTTGTACTTTTTTCGTTATTAATTATTGATACCTAATGGAGTAATAAAGTTTGATCTTTTTCTAACTTTCTAATCAGTTATGTATTAAAGCTGATATTAACGTCAGTTTATGTGTATCATGCATTGTGCTGTATACAGAAAACAATCTCACAGGATGTATAGTTTAAAAAATTAATTTATTGCTGATAAAATTTCTAATATATGACTGATTTACATATAATATTTGTTCACAATACTGCTCAATTTCATTCTGAAAAATCTATATCATAGTATCTAAGGCAGAACATCATGGTACAACATTCTTAGAAACAATTTTAAAAGCTAATCTCTTGAAATTCTTCTTGACAAATAATAAAACACTTTAACAACAACATATTGCTGTTAATAAGTGCTTTCCTGCAGGTATTTCAGCTTCAACACATCCGATCAGTTACACATTTAACTGATATGCATCCATTGCCATAAACACAAAAAGAACCATGATGTCTTTCCTATTGAATAACATGGAGTATAGTGCAGTTCTGCATAGCTAGAAATAAAGCACGAAGTGGAGCGATCAAAGATGGACTGGGATAATTTGGAAGTTAAATAGTTTCCCATTTGTCCAGTTTACATAAAACTGCAAGGAAATGTAGGTAACAAACCACTGTTTCTAGAGCTGGGGCTGCCATTGTTATTAAGCACTGAGTATATAAGCATTTTAATACTATTTCTCATGTTAAATAATAATATAAGCATTTATGACAAAAATAGACAGTTTTAGAAGATCAGATACAGCTTTCTTGTTATCAACACTGCAATGTAAGCAAGGGCCTGGATTGGGATATTTCAGTAGCAATTTCACTGGTAATGTTTTTGTGAACCAGTTAAAAGCACCATGATCAGAAGGCAGTGGGAGGGTTGTGGCATCGATACTGCTGTTTACTTGAAGGATGCACGGACTTTGCGTCCCTTGAGAGGTTGAGGGGGTCTGAAGTTGTCAACCATGCAGGAAGGTGCCTCTCCTTCAGATGTGAACAACAGGCTACGGAACTTAGCCATCTGAAGAACAGACAGACAGAGAGAGAGACATTTAGATTGTTTTCTCTTGGATTGTGGTGTTTAGTGTGTTGTTGGCAGTCTTGCAGAGCCTTATTACAGCCTATATTTACTATATTTAGCTCCATGCTCATTCATAGAGCACTGGCCAGAATTCCCGTGCAGCCATTAGACTGTTCTGACAAACCACTTGAGACTAAAATAAGCTCTGTAGGCTAACAGCACTGCCTACATCAGGGAAAGGTAATTAATGGGGCTTTTTTTTTTTTTTTTTTGGGAAACAATATATTGACTTGGTGTTCAAGAATCTTGAAATGCAGGTGAATAAAAATCTTACTGAACGGTAGTGTATATTATAATATTTTTTATATATTTAATATTAATATACAAAATCAAATTTATTTAATTTTTCTTTCAATTTTTTTTCAGCCCAATGTGTCCAGAACTTTCAGTGTGGTGTATCACTAGTAAAAAAAACTATTTTCTTGCTGAATTATAACTACACTTTCTTGTCTTGCTTATTGCCTTTAATAAATAAAATATATAAAAACAAGAATAGACTGCAATGAGGCCAAATTCATCTCCAGACATATGGGTGTTGGTTTCTATCTTAAAGGCACAAGCCTGACTTAAATATGATATTTGCTGTCAGGCAAGCGATATATTTAAGATAAAGTAATCTTGTAGAAGCAAAAACATATGGAGCATCGACCCTCCCAGTTTCGAAGTAGGAGTGACGTTAAATGTCGGGACCCCATTTGTGTTATTGTACTACTAAGCAGACAGTATTTGATTTGGGAATTTATTAACTTATCAACTCAATAAGTAACAAAAAACACATTCCCTTACAAATTAACAAAAAATGTGTGGGCATAATCATGTTCCAATGACCCAAGATAGCATAAGATACTAAAGATATGGACTAGAACTAGATGTCTGCATATAATTGCTTGAAAATGTGAAAGCATAGATAAAGTATGATGAAAAGTACCTGAGCAGGACTAACACAGACTGGGTCTTTCAAAACGATCCAGGTGACACTCTCCAGAAGAGGAGGTGTGGTCAAAGACCCCTCGTAAGTCCAGAAATCCAGAGTGGCGGGCAGCAAGGTTTTAGGATCAAAGTTGCTAAATGTAGTCTGTCTGCCCTGGAGAAGAAACAGTCATATTGTAAAAGAATAAAAACACCTGAGGGTAACTGGGACGACTAAATATCCTAATTCATAAAGATTATAAATGACTTAATACCTTTGATCTGATGTCATCAAGAGCATCTAGAACTTTCTGAAGCCTTGGATTGGCGGAACCAATCTGGTAAACAAAACCACACAACACATCCATCATTTGAAATCATTTAATCACTGCAATTCCTGAAATGCTTTTGGAAAAAATCCTGACCTTGAGAAAAACTCCAACCACAGCAAGGCCATCAGGCTTACTGGCAGCTTCGCCAAAGTTTGGGTACTTGGTGTTCCAGTGAACGAGATGAAGCTTTAGAAAAGAAGAGACGTGTTATTAAAACATTCAGTATGTGCGAAAAACATACTGAATTAGCTTAATATCTTAATGTATTAAAAAGAAGGGATTTACAAATTCATGAGAGAACATCACAAGAATATTAATGAGCGGTGAGCTATAAATAGTTTTAAGGGAGAGACATTCAAGAATTAGAATGGCCTGAACCACAGCACAGAAGAATGAGGGTTCTTTCAGTTGTAATGTAACACTGGAAGCAGGAGTGTGAGAGATAGAGTCTCATTACCTCACAGGGGAACCTGGTTCCAGCAATAGTGTGCTCTGAGCCCTTGTCATCACTGCTTCCCCAGTGGAAATGGAACTGTCTCAACCTGTATATCCCTATCACGGGACCTCCAGCCAGAGCTACACACACAAACAATTATTCCAATCATGCAGCTGTTTCTTTAACAGCACTAGAAATCATTAGTCATTCGTTTTGTAGACCTGTATTTCTGATTCAATGTAACGATGCATATAAAAGATAATATAAGATATATATTTCGAATAATTGCGATTTTTAAAAGTATTTGTGCATTTATATTTGTATTTCTAATTCAATGTAACAATGAGCATAAAACATAAAGACAATATAAGATATATACACTCCATATATTCCAAAATATATTTCCAATATATTCCAATAAAATACATATTTGATATGTTCCAAAAGTTTCGAATAATTACGATTTTTTAAATGTATTTGTGCATTTATGTTTGTGCATTTATAATGTATATGTATGCATTTATAATGCATTGGATATTTTATAAAGTTTTAAAAAGGAGAACTGCTTTCTATTTTAATTACAATTTAAAATATATTAAAATGCACAACAGTTATTTTAAATGATAATGATATTTTACAATGTTACTGTTTTTACTGTATTTTGATCAAATAAATCAACTTCTTTGAAAAATCACCGATAAGATATAAAAATGCTAGCTGATATTACAATTCTATTATTTTGTTGACTTCTAAAATCATCAATAAAGTCAATTTAGTCATCGCATTATTATAATGTAAATTATGGAAATTAGATAATCATTTGAGATTCGTTATGAACATGCATAAATATCCAATATTAGCCGAAAACCTTTTTCATTTAAATTTAATTAATTAATATATTAATTCATTTAAAATCTCTCATATCGGATCATGGTACGAATATGCATCCTTAATGACATGGAACCTCTACTTCCTATTTGGTATACTGACAGATGTCAGTGTGAGTGGGCTACTTGGGATATTACTTGAGCAGCTTGATATTCACTACCTAACATATCGAATAGCTACTTTTTCATCTCTTTTCAGCAAGTATTTTGTATGCAGAAAGTGACTTTTTTTCTATAGTGTTTCTGTAAAAGGTTTCTGTTTCCAAGCATATGTGTGAGTCCCCTCTTGAAATGGTCATTAAAATTCAGCACATGTTGCACTCATTGACCGACCATGGCATACAGCATTGATATGTGGCTCTATTCTTTCTCTCATAATAGAATACATTAGCACTTGAGTACACAAAGCTCTAAGTACCTCATTTCCACTGGCAGAGGAAGGAATACATCCACACATCTACATCCCCTGCTCACATAAGTTTTACATAATTTGTTGATTATATTCTATATTCAGTTGTTGAATATAGATGAACTGGGTAAACTGAAATGAATTTCAGTCAGAGAAAAAGTAGCCTACAAGGACACAATAAGATTAATTCACAATTTCATGTAATCCTTGCTGTCTGAAAAAGAAAGCTCAAGCTTGAGACTCGACTTGAGCACTAAAAGCTGCCCTTGACAACTTAATAAATGAAGTTAGTAATGAATGGATAGAAATAGGGCAGGAGATGGGGCGATAAAAGACTTCAGTAGCTGAATATTGAACTGTTTATATACTATGCGTAATGATTGACAGATTTAGATGCACCAGTTCTTTTCATTTTAGCATTCAATATGCAACGAAAAAATCCTTGCAATGTTTTTTTTTCTTGCAGTTTTTTTTTTATAGAATATGCTAAAAAGGTCCAAAACATTGCACTGCCAAAAATGTTGATGAATATTTAATGAAAATTTGACTATAGAAAACACCTATTCCACATTAAATAAATAAATAAATGTATTCCTAAAAGGCTGCATCTTATTAGGTTTAATACTGCTTTAAGAGGTTGAAAATAAGAACAGCAGTTCATGAAATGCAGTGATATACTAACTTGAGCTGTTGTCGTCATCAATGAAATCCACTTGGAATGAATGGCCATTGTTGAGGATGCCCTTAGTGGTGGCGGGGTCATACTTCAATTTGAGTTGCTTCAGAGAAGGGTCATGTTGTGCTTGGGTGGGTACGATATCAATGGGAGACTGTCTGGGTCCGTTTGCAACGGGAAAGCTTTCTGCCCAATTTTCTGGCCCTGAAATTACAGAGCAACAGAACAAGATGAAACACAGTAAGATAAAAATCTAGTGCCTAGATGCACAAAAAAAGTGTGTTTACATTCCTTGCAAGATTCAAGGTCAGCAAATGTACGCTGTAAGCAGTGTATACATGCAGCTGTTACTTTGAGGAGCTTTTTCAAGCTTTGACATTTAGAAATTACTTTTGTTGGTGTAACCTAATTTATCTACAGTAGGTTGTTTCAGTCATATTACTGTCTTGTTTTTTATATTAAACACAAGGCACATTTCCTTAGGTTACCTGACAAAACATTTTATTTACAGTGTAATCTGCCACAAAAAAGTACAAAAGCTGGTTTTACAAACTAGAGAACGTACAAAAGTACAGACTAGGTGATACTCTTTCAAAAGATTCACTTTTGAACCTTATTTAGTACTAGAAGTGCAAACTGTAGGCTACATTAGTACCTAAATTGTACATATTAGCACCTTTTAAAGGATACTGTCCCAGTGACAGCTTTTGTATCATTTGTGTTATGCATATGTGTTATGCGTATTTATATTTTATATTTGGTCATGCATAACTTTTTTCCCTGTTGTTTAATAATAAATAACAAATACTTCCCCACACAGAGAAACCTAATGAATCAAAATGCATCAAGATAATATTATAATTTAATTAGGCTAATATAGTTCCTAAAGACTAATAGATTCATCTAGGACCCGTAAAACAGCTCTTACCGTCTTGTGCTCCATAACCCCAAGCGTGAGACATGATTATTTGTGTCGTTCAATGTGTAAGACCTGGATGCTAAAGACCAGCAACTGCTGGTTCTTCTAAACTATGTCAGCCTTTATATAGTGGTCCCCTGCTGGTACTGGTACCTATCTCAACCCAGTGGGCTTGGCCACATGGTCTCCACAGGAGGAGTCAGTCAGAGAACATTTGAACAGCCCCTGTCCCTTTAATTCGCACGCTGAGTATCGCGTTGCTCCGCTTGCTGCTGATGCTCGAGCGACGTTGAACTGACGGGATGCGGACGCGACTGCTCCTCTCTGTTTTCCATGCGTTTAAGTTGCTTTTTCTCTTCCATGACTCGAATAGCAAACCTCTCCATTCGTCGTTTTCTCTGACGATTCAGAAACACATCCCTTATCCGGGCAGCGATACATGTTCTCTTGACCTTCTTCGTCCTTTTACGATGCTGTGTGTGTAGATACGCAGGCTGTAGCGGGACGAACAAGTGGAGGTGCGCCGATGAACTCTGGATTCTAGTAGCTTAATGACTGGTTTTGTAACCAAGGTTGCCGTTTAGAACGTTGTGTTGATCCACGTTTCTAAAGAAAACAAAAGCAGCCGCCGTTTATTCTTCTACATCCTCTGGTACCCGAAGCGCATGACGCTCATTTAAAGGGGCCAGTGCGCCAGCTACGATTAGTGACTGTTATATAAACAGCCTATACCGAAGCTAAAAGAGCTTTAAATATATGCTCGTTGCTTAAATTGTTTGCACATATTGTCTACATTATTTTAAAGAAATCTAATAAAGGAGTAGGCTACATGCTTTGTCTTAACAGTTTCAAGCTGTTCGTTCACTTGTTGATTATGAAAACTCATGGACTGTATAGACTAGCCTATACATTATTACAGTACCTGTAGGTCTACCAATAAATAAGTCACGGATTTGTTTCCAGTATGTGAAATAACGTACTTAATAGTAATTTGTAATGGTCAAACTTAAGAATGTTACGTTGTTGTTTGACCTCTTTGCATTATTGAGCTGCTGTCATCTGGTGGCTGAAGTGGGAAATAGCCACTGAAGGGTCTCAATTTGATTTACCTTACATTATTTACTCTATTTATTATATTTTGTTTACTTTACTTTTACATAAAAACTAAATAAATATAGAAATAAGGAAGTATTGGCAGTGGACAAGGAAAAAATCAGTTTTTATGGACAGTGTTGGATTTATTATTATTATTATTGTTATTATTATTATTTGGATACAAATATAAATGTTTTATTTTTTGTATCTCATACTAGTGGATAACACATTGTGTGTCCACTCTCTATACAAGTGAGACCAGGACTAGTTGTCGCACAGGCAATTTTTTTAGTCAAATTTTGTTGTCACAGGCTTTAAAGTATGTGTCTATAAATAAACTTTTAAACACAAATTTGCTCTGATAAATATTAACAGCCGTAAACAGAAAAATCTGGGGCCAGTTGCATAAACCTAGTCACTGTCTGTGTTGTTATGACTGTCTTTTAACAACTAGTTTGACTAACTAGCAGTTAACCAAGTGGTAATCAAAAAATCTGGGGCCAGTTGCATAAACCTAGTCACTGTCTGTGTTGTTATGACTGTCGTTTAACAACTAGTTTGACTAACTAGCAGTTAACCAAGTGGTAATCAATCCTACTTTTCGGATTCAAATTAGACAATCTACATTTTTATGTGACTGATTACAAAAAGTAATGACCAGTCTTGCAGAAAAATATATATATATATGACTGACTTTTAAGACTTGTCTAAAAAAATGTATGCAACCGGCCACTGATGTTTTATGTGTAACTGATCATTTAGACCACTAGGTGTCAGAGAAGAATCACGTTTCATATAACAGCGCATACAGTAGTCAGTTTAAATATTTATGTGTATGTATTACACACACACACACCCACATACAATTCTAAATATGAATATAAATATACTCAAAACATGTTAGGGTTGGGTTAGTCACTCAATGCATGCATGTATGCAAGTAATGTGTATATTTTTTTTCTCTCAATTTGATATAGTACAACAATTCAGTTGTTCTTAAGAGTGGGTTATAATGTATAGATTTACATGTTTTTAACAGATTATAAACTGCAACAATAACTGATTTTTTAAAAACAAATAATTATAAATAATAACTATAATGAAGAAATGCAATGTATAACGTAGTGATTATTCTCAGTAGTAGGCCTATAAAAGATTAAATGCTTAAACAATATGATGGTCAATTCTTTGTTTACATGGCTCTTACAGATTGATGATGGCCTTGTCATTAACATAAATATTATATTCATTCGTCAATGGAAATTATATATTAAAACATTTTTAAGTATTTTAAAGAGTACTTTTGTGGCACGGGGTGGAGTTTTACCTTATACACGAGAAAGGAGAAAGCTCATCAAGCTGCTATATGAATGCTACAATATGAATCAGCAATGAATAGGAAGAAAATTAGCTCCTTTCATGTCACGGATGTAAATTTGCCTCCGCAGGATCAAATGCATGCTGAGTCTAACTAAGAACAAGAATGGCAGCAGCAAAAGGAGCTTATGAAACCTCTCATTTGGTTCTATTCACTTCTCTGATTGGATGCAAGTGACATGGGCTCTGTGAAAAGGCCAGATCATTTTGACCTTCTACAAACAGACTGCACAGCAGGGTTCCCCCCTTTCACAAGCAGCATCACGGCCCCTGATATGCTCCATTCAGCCATCTCTGATACTTCAAGAGGGAACAATGTGACCTAATTGGATGGCTCCTTATAATTAATGTTATTTTGACGCCAAGTATGACATGTCTTGCAGAGATTTTGTATCTTTGGCAAGATATATTGGTTTATTTTTGTGCGCTCCTCATTTGGGAGTCACACTCATGGTCTTCGCGGTCAAAAGTGACCGGACACCTGAAATTTTACTTTTTCTTCAGTAAAATCAATCTAATATATTTTTGTTCAATAATATTTTTTCTTTTTTCTTTTGTATTTTGAGAGAATATTATGGTAATAATTAATATTTATGCAATAATTATTATCAATTTTTACCATTGAAAATAGTACAAAAAAATGTTCTCTAATTTTTTTAATTATTTTTCAATCAATGCAGTATCTCTGATTTAAATAAAGACTAGGCCTTTAAAATCAATTTTTAAGGCAGATTAGCACCTCCTGGTAAGAGCAAAGAAAGAAAAACATGTAATTTCATGGTGTAACCACTAGATGCCTGTATAGGAATCTATAGAGAGGCTTTTGAATTCCCTAGTTGTTTTTATACATAATTGTTTACTTTTATTAGCTTGTGGATTTAAATGTATATTAAGGCATTCTCAAAGACTACTTTTTGTCAAGGTTTATATTTTTTTGTTGTTTTAAATGTTGATTTGAAGCGTCAGTTTTTGAATTATTAAAGGGGTCATATGATGCTGCTAAAAAGAACATTATTTTGTGTATTTGGTGTAATGAAATGTGTTTATGCGGTTTAAAGTTAAAAAAACACATTATTTTCCACATACTATACATTATTGTTTCTCCTCTATGCCCCGCCTTTTTGAAACGCGTCGATTTTTACAAAGCTCATCGGTCTG